TACTTTTAACCCATCTACAAACATACGCAATCGTGTTGCCAAAAAGGACAAACGTAGGCAATCGTTTTCTACCCATTACCACGATAATAATATAAATCTTGATAATTTCTGTTGTATTTATGTTAGGTACCTATAGGAATTAATAAGAATAAGAAAATATAAAAAAAATATACAATTATGACATATTAGACAATTTTGTATTTTCGGACTTTTAGTTCGACACTAAAAATGTGTTCGGACTTTTTGTCCGGCAATCAAAAAACGAATCCGGACTTTATGTCCAACTAATTCCATACCGGACTTTTTGACCGATTACCATATTGTATATATGTTATCAATGATAATATTGTATTATATTGGTACGTACGATTCGCATAAACAGTGGGCGAAATTGGAGGCTTACAGGGCAACCATCCTGCCCACACTATCCCTCTAAATGCCAGCCCCTGTAACTTGGCCAATACCAGCACCAGTTGAAGCACCACGAATTTCCCTTGGATGCCGTGATCCTTGAGGATCTCTCCGAGCACACGCATGGTCATCGAGATGCCCCACATGCCACATATAATGGATAACACTATGAACGGTTGCATATACATGTAGTTGACTTGGTACAGACTCTGTTAATCAGTACATTATATATATATAGGTATATTATAAATTATCAAATAATAATTTTACGCAATGTGCCTATACAGGTTATGACGCAATATAAATAATATGTGATATAATAATATCGGTGAAGCTAGTAGTATATAGCTTATAGCTATAAGTATATTACCTCTTCTTCAGCCCACATGACAAGCAACACCATGTACACAAATCCTTGGACGACGGGCAATTGTAGCACCAACATTCTCAAGTGCTTCAGATGTTTCCTACAGAATATATATTCTATGAATAAAAATTTATATTTTAACTCAATTTTTCTTTTTAATAATCGACTATATAGGTCTCTTATTCAAAACTTCTATTGTCGAACAAACATCAGATAGCATATTAAACAAATAATTAGGTGTATAGGTGTAAATATGTCAATATGTAACTAGTTAAGTAGTGACCACACCTGGCTCGCCTTTTTGTTTATTTCACTTTGTTAGTTTATAATAAATGTAATTATTATCATCATCGTGGTTGTTAGCAAATTAGTTTCGTAAATTGAGTTCGATATATTATAGATATTCATAGGGTAGATTTTCAAGACGTAGTCAATAGCTCACAATTGGTACAGCCAAATTCACAGCCTAGAGCCGGATTAATGAAATAAGTGAGCTATCACATTTTTGAGAGCTCTAATTTTACAAAAACATGTTTTATGCATATATTTTGTTTATTGATGTCACAATCATAGACGAAGTCCAAATCCATCGAAAAAATATCAAAGTTTTTATCAAATATTAGATATTTATTACTTACCAATAATATGCTATCGAATTAATTATTATAATTTTAACCTAATTTTACCTAACTTAACCTAACCTACGATAATCGTACTTGGTGAGCGTGAATTTAGGCAAAAAACAGCAACACGGCCAACAGCAACATGGTGGCACTTGCATGTCCAACGACTGTGGTTTTACGGAAGCGATGAGATTGGCTTCTCCTCCACAATACGCCATGAACAAACAGAACAGCTGATACATCGAAGCCATGAACATGCCCTGAGTCATGGCTTCGGCTAAAAGGTGGGCTCTTGGCACCAATATTGCGCAATAAGTGGCCACCGCGACAACCTGTTGGATCAAAATACGCATAATACATAAATATAATATTGCAGTGTCGTAAACTCGTTATATCATGTGAATATTGAAAGTATACCCATACCGTTTGTTAAATATTGTGAGTTATGACGTAATCATCACATTGCTAGTTGCAACTATACCCATGGGTATATACGGAACTTATAACCATCAGAGGTCCTACGCTATGCCCGAAACTCATGTAGGCATGTAGCGTTGCATAATATAGGTGTTTTCCATCCCCCTTATTATATAGGCAAATGGATCGTATATATGTGGTTCAAATTGACTAACACCATTGATTATAAACATATGTAAGTATTTATAAACAATGCCACCGCCAGTAACACCAGCCAAGAGATATGAGAACTACCGATGGAGCAATTTAAAAACATTCGCCAACAATTGATTCCTTTGACCCTATAGCATAAGTTGAGCGTAACATTCTACATTAAATATAGGTTGAATCTATATTATTTTACATTTCAATTTTCAATAGGCAAACGAATTCACATACCTACAATCCTTAAAAATGTTTAAAATTGCTATTTGGTAGTTATTATAAACATTATAGACAATAATATATAAAACTAAGAAAACTGACAAACGTCAGTTAATAATATTCAAATGTATTTCTTAAAAAAAAATCAAATGTGCTTTACAACTTTTAATTGAATATGTAGGTATTAAAAAATAATTTTTTCCCGGGATGCGATGGATAAATCCAAAGATAATGTATAAACGATTCCAAAATGGACCAAAATTGAATCCAAGTACTAAACAATAACAAATCGTTCCGATATGAAATTATTTTGGCTACAATTCAAATTCTTATAAAGATTGATAACTCAACTTACCGGGTATACGCTAAGTATGAATGCAGAGTGTGTTTTAACCATGGGTGGCGCATTTTTGATGATATACCTCAGAGTGTCCACATACAGGTAGAGAATCATGACCACGATCACTGCACCGACAGTAAATATCGTCACTCCAGTCAAGTTTATAGCTGCAGCGAACAAAAAATAAATATGTATATACATTATATATTATTATAATATATTATAATTAATAAATAATAGTTCACACCGCCACAGCCATGGACTTAGGCTATGGAGTATAAGTGCTTGGTGCTTTTTTACATCTAAACCACCAAGAAAATAAATTTGTATTAAAAATAACCAATTACTATTATTTTTTTTGACCGTCCTTTATTAAAATTTTCTAAATGCCCGTGCCTACATCATCAATAACTATAGTCAAGTCCATATAGCTACTTCATTGATAAATATTATATTTATATAATAATATCTTTGTAAATATAAGCGATTTTTGAGCACCAGGATTAGTTAATTAAACAATCATGACATTAAGTTTCCTAACAAAATCGACTGTTCTTTAAATAGGTGTTTAGTTACTAAGACACGCGCATATAAATATAATAATGTAATAGGTACAATAGTCAATAATATTATATTATAATGACGTACGTTACGGACCGATAGTTATACTCTTAATTTCAAGACGTGCAGGATCAGATTACACACGTGGAATGATGGGCCGTGAACTGAGTAAAAATAAAAATAAATTATCATTATGGCGTATGTTTTGTAATAACTAACAAGCTTCCAAGAAGTGACCCTGATCAGGACAAACGAAATGCGCAAGCCGATAAATATACACATTTTATTTTATTGTTGAAAAACGCTCTTATTTAAACGACAAAAATGAACAAACTATAAAAAAAACCACAATAACATGATAAAATAATAATTATATCTTCAGATTGGTTTTGTCATTAAAAATTATATATTAATATATAAGTGTGTATAGTCTGATATTGGTATACCTCTTGATAATGATCGGGTTGAGCTGTATGTATTGCAAAACACTAATTAGCGACAAACAGTTTTTGTCAAACAAACACGTTATATATTTTAACGATCCCATAACGTCAATCGAAAAGTATATTATACTTATAAGAGGTATATATTATTTATATTACGAATAGTTTATACAATTTTTTTTTTTGTCAATAATCATCGGCGACAATAAAAGCCATTAGTTACAATTATTTATAAATACATTTTTATACAATTTAAGATTCTATAATACCTACTTGTGCATTATTGGTTTCAAAATAGATCAATTAATTAGAAAGTATATAGGTAATAATTATATTTATGCGTACCTACGTTATACGTGTTTTGTATATATATTTAACAATTAGAAAATTAGCAACTAATCTAATTATAAAACTGCAGACACACCAGTAAATTAATTATGACGTCACTCATCAGTCATCAGTAATACCTATACAGTTATGATTAGTTTGTAAAATCGATAACCGCAGATAAATATATATTAGGTAGGTACATAAGTATGCATTACGTAAATAGCAAAATTCATTTCTACTCATTTTTTGATTTTATTTTCTAGAGCATAAATTAATTTAATATGATTCAGAGATTTAAAGAGCACCACCTCCCCCCAGGGGAAGTAGGAAAAGAGAAACWAAATAAATAAATCACTAGTATATAACAAAAAATATTATGAGATATCAGAAAATATGGTCTTGAGGTATACTTAAAAATTTTAAAAATTGGAATTTGAGTAAATGTTTTATTAAACGAAAAAATGGGGGTTAGCGTGCTTAAAAAATCACCCTGTACCTATATCTAGACTTTTAGTCATATTTTTATGGGTTATATAGCCTATAGAGATGCCTAACTAACTTTATATATGGCTAATTACTAATCATAGTTACAGTCTTACAGAGTATATAATTTAATTCATATAAACTCATATTATGCTTTCCTCAAAATATAATAACAAGTAATGTCCAAAAGTTTAACACGCCCCCGCGGCCAATCAACTTAAAACTATCAATAATAAATTAAGATAATTTTAGTAGGTAGTTTAATATCTAGTAAAAATTTTAATCAAAAACTATATACAAAATGTACTTATACCTATTACCTATGCATATTTATAATAACACTAGACCGTCTAGACCTATCAGTCCTATCAGTATAATATTATATATAATAATACAACACTTAACTTTTTATAATACTTTCTAAAAATAATATACAATATGTCAATATATGAGTACAAGATGCGTTATTTCAATGTATTCAATTTAATGTTTATCAAACAAATAATAATATAATATACTGACCACTTATTTATTATTATAAAATCATAAACAATAAACTTTATTTTATACTTATAAGATATTATTTACATGCAATGTATAGTGTATACACAAGCAGGTGTGGTTTATAATATAATATATTGTACAATAATATGCTGTTCAAACAATATACATACATGATTATTGATTTTATTTATCATTTAATCCATCTGATATTATCATCATAAAATTCAATAAAATGGAATACAAAAAACAATCAAGAACGATGTAAGAATGAACACTGTTAATAATATGATGAAAAATAATAAATTATGATTAACTGAATCTTAACGAATTTTGGCGTAAATCACTCCATATACGACTATTATTTGTATACGTGATTTGGTGTCTTATAGAAAATGAAAGATAATAATAAAATCTACTAAATATTAATTTCACATTTTTTCTGTCGTGGAAAGATGGTTTAAGGAGACCACGTGTGGTTTGGAATCTTTGACCGGTTAGTGCCGAGTGGCACAAGATAAGGTCGCCACATCGTTGTATAATATATTTTATATAGAATAACATATCACCGTAGACCATGGGCGTAGGATGTAGGGGGCTAAGAGAGCTATAAAGACCCCCAAAATTCAGTCCTTGTATGAGAACTGAAACATTTTTTATTAAAAAAAATCTATAGCCCCCCCCCTTATAAATTCATCACGCTATTCCTATGCCGTAGACTAGCTGGATCAGTTGTACAAGCCTCGAAGCCTGTATATAATATGATATCAGTAAAAAAATAAAAATATATTTAAAAATAATTTATTATTGTTATTGATAGGTATTGTAAAATCATTATTAGATATTTTGTTGGAATATTTCGTTTTCCGGATACTTTATTGCTTTCTACAAAATAAATAGTTCAAGGTAAGAGAGTCTACTCTGCTCTTTAATAGGTGTATGTATGACGCAATTTGGTACATATGCGGTAGTAAATATTATACCTACTGGAGAACAAATTAACAAAAACAGAAACAAAACATTTTAGAGGGAGATAGAGTGATAAACAGATACGAGTATTAGAGAGAAAGTGGTCTGTCCACTATAACGCCATCGTGTTGACCATTCCTCTTGGCACGTTTCAACGCACGTGTTTGTGATATAAGTGGGTAATATATAATAATATTAATACCTGTTCTGCTGAGTACACTTTGAGGTAATACCCGCTATATTATAATCCACAGAATTGCGCAATCAAAAATAAATATAATCGATGAAAATGATGATGTTTGCGCTACCATAGGTATACCTTCCATATTTTATTCAACGAGTGTATGGTACATACTACATACTACATACTACATTATGCCATATCATGTATTAAATATTATATTATATTATGACAATCCTGAAACGTAAAAACGATGTGTATAGCAATGGACACACGAAGAAAAATCCGCCTTAGCCACGTCAACCTTGAAATGTTCAAGACTCCGTGTCCAAGCAACCGCAAACCGTGCAAGGGTTTAAGTATTTACGCGATCTTCGAGAAAAAAAATATAATCCTACACGCATAGTTCTTTATAGATGAATACTTACACGCATTAGTTATGCAATGAATTTCTTTTTTTCACTCATGGTTTTCCATTTTTACAAAAAAAAATATTGATACCTATATAATAATACGAGTCACGATAACAAAGCATTATTTTTGGCATTCCATCAAGGTCCAATGACAATTATAAGAATTGTAAATGAATATCATCATTAGGTAGGTACCCTACGTTTAAAAATATGATTACTATTTAATATTTAATACTTAGACATGAATAATAAGTCTGTTAACGTGTTAACAGTGTCAACGCATCGATGTCAGCCGCGTTGAAATTTTTTGGGCTTTGCAGTAGATATTATGTGAACGAAATCGAAAAATATACCATACGAATATATGGCTATAGAAAAAATAAAGCCTAACGGCACCAAAAAATGAACCATTTTCTCCACAGATGATTTTAAAAGATTTTTCTAGAATAAATTATTATTTTTAGATTATATTTGTATAGACCTTTGCAAATTTTCTAAGGCTATAGGTTAGGTTAGGTTAATGCATCCTGCAGGTTTGTCAAGCTTTTCCGGACACTATATACAAATCATTTTAAGTAAGTTATTTTAAGTGAATCAATRTTATATACTTATAATAATAACATAAATATTCTTACATAAAATGTCAAAACATAACCAAATATCTTGGAATACGACTAAAAAAACAGTAGTTAACCTGGAAACCACAAACCATTCTAAACAAAAAAAGTTATCATATTTTCCGAACTCTTCCAAAGTCAAAATTAAATCACTTAGTACAAAAATGTGATCACACCGGTTTGTTCATATTATTGTACCTACCTATACAAATTTGAGAAACAACCAAATCATCTAATTTCTGTCCGAATTTCCGATTCAAGCTTTTCAAAATATATCACTCCATGCAAGTTATTACTGGTGCCCCTGCCCCATTATTAAATGAAACTAACATACATAACATAATACATTGATCTAAAAACTATGAAAGCCAATAACTTAGCTAAACTTTATTATAAAAATTTTCATTTCAAATTAATATCCAGCACTAACTCTAAAATAAAAATTATTTCCTCCCTTTTTAATCCCGATAAGTTACCGCAAGAATATGAAAGTATAACTGGTAACTCTCTTCGCAAAAAAAAATGCAACTGAAATTACAATTCATTAATACTAATAAATAAATAATCAAACGATGTAGGTATTACTAATGGGTAATTTACACTCCACACCTTTTACAACGGATCATTAATTATTACACCTATACTTAATAAATTGACTGTTGTTTTGATTAACATTTTTTTAAGACATAAAACGATTTCTAAGTATAACAATTCAACATTTTAAATTACCTACATAGTTACTTTAACCTACAACAGCTAAATAATGGGATTGAATATTTTGACTACAGATAAGCCTTTTATTATTTAACAATATCGATACTAATCATGTTATTATTTCGATTGCGACTGATGTATATTGGTTATTAATTTGAAATAATATAGACATAAACACGTTGAGCCAATAAGCAACCCGTGTCTAACGACATACAAGATGAAGTTAAGTATTATTCATCAAATAATAATAAATACAATTCAAGTCTAATTAAGACAATACACACAGTATACATATATGTATATATAATAACTACGCAGCACAAAAATATTGCCATACTAACACATTGAAACGCATTGATAGACCTTCGAACCCATTAAACGATGATGCTTTATTTAACGCCATTGATAAAAAAAAATTGTAATGTTTTTAGAATTAATTTAATAAATATTTCTAAGTACCTATACGATAAACAATAATTGATATTCATAAAAATTGTACTCGCGGTATGCCCCAAAAAATAAGGTAAGATTGGTAGTCAATATCACCAATACAATAATTAGTTATAAGTTATAACAACTACTTTGCTTACATATTCCTTCAACAATTTACATGGTTTAGAAGGGAAACTGTTGAATTAAAAAACTATTTATCATTTAATATTATATATAGGTATATTATGGGTAGATTTAATTTTAATATTTTTAAATTAAGGCTTATAACTGCCTAAAATACAATTTTCTGAGAACATTTGCTATCACTAATTCATATCAAATATAAAATACATGCAAATCTATCGATTTACAATGCAATATATAGATTACATTATATATATAATTACTATATTATAGGCTTGCAGAGTAGTGGATGTAAAATCGATATTTTTAGAATTGCAAAAACTCTATAATGTTGCTAACCTTACAGTGTGTAAAGTGACCCAAATTTAAATATTTACTACCAGTGAATATATTTTTTCCAAAATCATTATTGGGAGAAAGTCATACTGTAATATAGAGCTCTACAAGCTAACTGATAATATCTTGTCGCAAGTACAGACAATATAACTGACAATTAAATACTTAAATTATGTATCATGCTCATCTGATACCATATATATTTTAGACAACACATGGACATAATTATATTATAGGCTCACCGGTAAAGTATTCATCGACAGATGGTATGCCGGCGGACTGATGGCACTGAGCCACGGAAACGTTTCTGACCGCGTAATCGATGGCGGACGTGGTAGTCGACGAAGGTTGTTTGCTGATCGCAAACGGGTAGTCAACGGATAACAGGCGTCCGGGGGACGCAGATGAGACGGTCCCAAGTTCTGCTGCAGCATTCCGCTGGACCATCGTAGTCAGATCCCCGTAATACTCCGCATTGTCGGACACGTTGTACATGACTAACGCTGCAGGGCCCATTGTCGTCATATTTCTATAATATATAGTAATATTATAATTATTTTTAGTGTCGCAAGTCGGGGTGAAGACTGCCGTCGGTCTGTTGTAAGTTAGTTGTATCTGCCACTCAAATTAATCGCTAGCAGATAAGTTCGAACATCAATGATACAACCATAAAATTAGGAATTTTTCAATTCCTGTGCGTTATTCACTTCTATATTATTGTATTATTATATGACAGATTGACAGGCTGTAACTATATAGAGGATTTAAAATTACGTTTAAAATAATATTATAGCATATCTTTCAGAATACACCTTGTATAATAATTAATAATAATATAATAATATGTGGTTGTGGTATATACGCAATTGAGCTCTTTAAATGGCGCCAGGGTCGTCGATCCCGTGCTAAAACATTAACTATTAAAATGCCCCCTCTTGCTCCTTTTATACGGGACCGAGGGTGTGTCGCCGTATTTTCCAGTGTTATTTTATACAATGCACAAATATAGGAAAACGCGGTCAAACATAAGTATATCGAATTTCGATTAACGATGTTTCCACGCCAACACGGGATTAAACAAAATAAGTACTCAAGATGGATGACCATCATTACTATCGAATTACATAATTGCATAATTATAAATAATTAATAAATTATTGAAATTATTTCGATATAATATAAATAATACTTTTAGCGTCGGCACCACATAACGTAGATGCTAATAATTTGTAATTAAATCATACCTAGGTACTTATTTTTTTTATTAGTTACGAAGCACGAAGGTAGGTATATAAATAAAATTATTATTGTAATTTGCCAGTTTGGTAGGTACCTACGTCAATTGCATATGAATTCGATCATAATTCATAACTTTCATGCACACGTGTTTGTTTTTAATACTTATTTATTTATATAGGTATAATATATGCATATATATATTTAGAGCTTATAATAGTTATATAACTACTCATAATTTATATTCAAATTAATATCACGGAAATCAGATATAAACCATAATATATACTTACATACGGTAGGTATATCACAGAATATACTTATTATATGCAGACTTAAACCGATAACGATATAGTATATAGTAATGAAGTAGGTATTGTGGTGTGAATGTGTGATACTAATAAAATATAAAATTAGAGCGAAATAGGTATACAACGTGAACGTCGTAAATCGTACCTACCTATATGTAAAAATATTTTAAAAATAATTTTAATATTGCTATAAAGTAGGGGTGGCGAACTTATTTTGGGTCTAGTGCCAAATTTTTGCAATCAAGGGTTTCACTATTTTTCACGTGCCCAAAGTTTGTAAATACTAAACAGAACATAATAAATATAGTGATAATAATATAGAAACAAAATCAATTTTACATATGAAAATTATAATTTTTTAGATGTATATAATTTATTTATTTGAATTTCTTACAGGCAAAATTTTATGAATAGCATGATTCAAAAATTGGTTTTTTGAATTTTCCTATAAAAAAAACGTCGATTGGTGCAACAATCAGACAATCCGATCTTTAGATACGAAGTTAAAATACAAATAAAGATGTCTGTTTTATATTTTGTTGCATTAACAAGAATCCTCCGGAGATGTCAAACTTTGGCTTATAATTTTTTATTAGATGGAGATACCGGTTGTTGTACTCACGTCTTCAATTATTCACAATTTTAATTTTCCGCATACCATTGAAATTTGACAAACGCGTGCCATGAGTTTGTCGCCCTTGCTATAAAGTAATAGGTTTAGGATTCAGAAATGATATAAATATAATCATGGGAAAAGTATAATGCATATTAAGCCACCACCCCATTAAGATACGGCGCGCGGCGTACCGATTTGTTGTAAAAGTAAATTAACTAAAAAAAAAAAAAAACATACCATGTATGGGCTATAAATTAATAATTATACACATGGTGTATTTAAAAGGAACCGATCATTAAATCGTACAAACATAACGATTTTAAAATTTCAGTTTAGATAATTTTATTAAATCGAATAACATTATAACAATATAATATTAACACCAGTCAATATATAAAAACAAGAGTAATATTATATTAATGAATTATGTAATAATCATAAGAAACCATCGCCGATAACATTATTTAATAAGAAATTTTAATAAGATAGAGGTTGATAGATAGCACCTATTATAAATAAATACTCCTAGTTATAGGTACTTTTACCTTAATAATCATTTTGATTTGCGATTACTGAATTGTAATAAATAATAATATTAACTGTATTATTAATTATGGTATTGGATATGTATAATTTATAATTTATTTGTGTTAAGACTTAAAGAGACTTTACGGAAATACTAATAAATATGTTATACTGTCATACTGATTAGTAAGTAAACATGTGTATTATTAAAAATACTACGGAAAAATATAATATTGTGCACTATTCTTAATAATTTCTCTAAAATGCTTCTTAAAATAGCTTAAATAATTTATATTTTATATAAATGTTATTTAATGTTTAAAGCAACTTTTTATGAAAGTAAATATATTCATCAAATCCGATTTTGATAAAATTATTTAACTAGGTACCTCATTACAGCTATAAGTTACATAACACACTAAAGTTGCTATAGCGCACAATACATGAAATCAAAATTATTTTGTTAAGATATTTAAATTTAAATTATATTTATTTTGTTATATTAACGAGATAAACTTTTAGACAACATAACGTATTTTACACGATTTAATTTACTGTATATTATGTAGGTATCTGACTATAATATGATTAAATATAGTATACAACTCTAGGCTGAAAATTCAGAGCTTTATACTATAGTGCCACCTATTATAGGTCACAGCTGCGACTTGCTTTAAATAAATTCTATTTTCTTTCTACTTGACGTAAAGTGAATTCTTAACACTTTATAAAGTATTTAGAATAAACAGCCACACATAAACTGGTAAAAAAACTATCATTAAGTTTTGTCACACACCATATATATATATATAGATACCCATATTATAGTATATTGTTCCGATAGATTGAAATACATTAACATTAATATGTACACAATAAAATAATATTCCGCTACAAGCATGCGTTCATAACAATATAATATCTAAATGCATTAGACTGAAGGTAGGTATTTTTATATTATTTTAGTATAATTAATGACCTGCAAACGGATTTCGCAACGATAACTGTTAGGGTCCAATAATAATAGGAGTGGCTGGCACTGGCAAAATATTCTTTTATAAAAATCTTAAATATCTCTTATGGCACTATAAACACCCGCTGCTCTATTATAATTTAGGATTTCACAGATCTTTCTAATATTTGTCGATTTTTTTGCATAGGTAATAATTTGCAATTTGGATTCATACGTCATGTACAAATATCTATAATATGTATTTATTCCTAATAAAAATTCATTAAAATCAGAATAATCATATTAATACAAACGGTAACCTATTTATTAACAAATAAAGAAATTACTTATTAGGTAATCAAACTGATATTAATAAGTTTTTTTGTAATATGTTTATTTTGGTTTAAGATTAATAGAATAATAATTTATTATTCATATTTTACGAGTATTTCTTACATACATTATAGTTGTGTGGACTTCACTGGCCACACTATCCAGTGGTGCGAGTTTTTTACCACCCCGAAAACAAAAAAAAGTTATTTCAGCAAACCTATAGTTATACGTATTGTAAATTGGTCGTAAATTAAAATAATTGGAAATTGGTGGCATATTATTAGTTATAATCTTTTATATTAAATATATGGTTAGTGGCATGTAGTATTATAACCTCCTATCACGAAACAGTAAAAAAACCAATTATTTTTATTTCCCAATGAAATTCGATACGGATATACTTGATGCACTTTTTTGCCATTGATTTATAATAAATGTCGGTTTTCATCTTTGGAAAACCTTCTACAAAAAATTAACAAAAAATAAAAAGTACAAAAAAAAATTCGTCTTTTTTCAAATTCCCACACAAAACATGCGTAATTTAGTGTGCCTTCCTAATAAAGTATTTTTCATGTATCCTGTATTATTACGAAATAGCACCACCGTGACTAGTGATGAAATAACGTGTCGAATTTCTATCACGGATATGGATATCATATACGTTATTAAAAGAAAAAAACCAGCGACAACACTACTTTTTCTTTTTGTTATTAAATTATTATCATTGTTATTTTTTAAATGCAAACTACATAAGTTTTAAATTCTGAGGTTAACGTCTTACGTATTAATAAACTACTTGAAAATTATGACCTTATAAAGGAATTGTATAACAAAGAACGATGAGTGTTGCCGTGATGACCCTACCTCAGATTATTCTAATTTAGTAAAATAGCAAGTGCCCATATTATAAATTATAATATTATACCAACCCGTTCTACGATATTTGTAAATTTGTTGTGCATAGGCAGGTACTGTTTGACACGATCATTATGGTCGGTTTCAAAACGTGAAACTTACAATTTTTCAAATCAAATAAAAAAAAGTAACCGCAAACCGACAGCGCGTGTCAAAAAACCACGTACAATTAAAAAAGGTACCGTATTTTCTGAAAGAACTCGTGACCAAAACAAAACGATATGTACCTTCCTATACGCGTGTAGAAATTTGCAGGGAATATTGTGGAACCGAAAAAAATAGATTTTATTCACTGTTATATATCAGATCAGTAGAAATGTGCAGTACACTTAATATATATACAAAATGGTTTTCAAAAATTCAACGGCAGCCCGAAAAAGTATTGATTAAAAGCTATATAAGTTTAGATTTGTTGAAATAGAAAATTATTTCAATATATAGGCGCTCGAGCCCCGAAAAATCTACGAACTCTGAGTCTATGAACTATGACCGTACATTGTACATATTAGGTATACTAAATGAAGATAATAAAAACATTTTTTAATTTTACAAGACGACTTACCTAAGGATTACTCGTGTCTCGGCTCGTTGAAGTCTATATACACAGCAACAGCACCGTGTAAAAATACTTCGTATAATTGAATGGCCGACGGTCCCGGCACTCGGTATCAATATTCAACAATTTTCCGACATTCCGCTTTGAACGCGCGTAAAAATCATTTTTCTTTAAATGTTAACTACCGCCGTAGTTGCATATTTATACCGAATCGCCGTTCTTGCAACCGTCGATCGCGGGATCCGTCATTTCGAGTCGAATACCGTATCACCACTGCGACGAGTGCAATGGCAGTCTATAGTGCTGCAGCTACAGTTGTTTGTAGGCGGTGTCCTATCCGATTGCTACCGATATTTTTTTCTTCCGCAAGTAGAAAGTAAACACCTCGCAGTAGCGGTAGTGGGATGGTGCAGTATAATATTTACAATGGCATATTAATCATGTTATAAGAAATACATAATCGCAGTACCTAATAGATAATAATCGTTTATGCGGAAACAAAAAATATATGTATATGATACACATTACATACAGTACATAAGCAAGATTTTTCAATAGAGAGGGGGCTTAAAAATAAATTACAATTTTACTATTTTATTCCAATTTAGTAATTTCAAACGTCTAAGTGAGGTATTTGAAAATGTTTGTAGGTACAGCTTTAACGACTTATCAACTTTTCTAGTTCTAATAATAGAAAAAAAGYTCTGATTATAAGCTTCGATGGAGGTTTTTGGAAACAAATTGGATCTATAGTTAGTGATTTTGGRATRTCGAAATTGAAAATAACCGGAAAATACTTCTCAGTCATTTTTAAAAAAATTTCCCACACTGTGCCAAACCTAAGAAGACCCCYTCAGCTCCCACAGTTAAACTACTCACACACTATCGAAGCCACATCMAAATCAGAAGTAGCCTAGAAATTCCAAACAACTTTTTTAAAACTAAGTCCTATTGAAGACTTCAACAAAAAAATRTTATATTTCTAATATTTCTTAAATATATTYATATATATAACTTAATCTAGTTGGTTAATATACTCATTAATATTTAGTAACATTTTATTATTGTCAAAGCTTAGTTGTGGATGTTGTACCATTAAAAATAAAAATAAATAAATAAAAATTATTAAAAYTGTTTGGTAAGCATATGGTTAGACAATTTTCACTTAAATCCTATTAGATAAATTTTAGCTTTTTRCTCTAAAAATGTCAATAAAAAAATATCCGTATGATCAAAAAGCATAAAAATATATTATAAGTTGTATATAATACTCATATAAGTTTTTATTATAGCTAATTAAAAATACTAATGATATAGGCACAGTTATATTTTATAAGCACTTAATGTTCAAATTTCAACAAAACTACAATTATAATTTGTGGTTAATTTTTATAGCAGAGTCGTGTCCGGCGGGTAGGCCTGGTAAACCAGGTCTACCCTGATTAACTTCTTATATTATGTTAGTATACACGTCACACATACTTATGAGTTATGACTTTGAAAGCATGATAAAATTTTCCTTTAATTTAAAAATATGTTGACTATACAAATTATTTTTATAACGACCTGTTCTGAATTTTGATCCTAATAGACATACCTTTGTTTTATAGTTAAAGCTTACAGATTAAAAATAAAAGGTATTTCATAATGCATAAAATTAGCTCATATTTTTACCAATATTACTGATTAGTGATTACTTTAGGAAAATATATATGCAAATACAATGTTTTTGCAAAAATTAATACAACCTCCTATCTAAGACCTAAGTATATAATATTATTAGTTATTGTCTATAATAGCTAATCCGGTAAAAGACGTATGTGAAATAACGTCTTTCTTACTAATTGACACCAATTGAAACTTAATAGTTAAATATATAAAAAAAAAGTAATGTTAATATGGGAAATTGGGGTGGGTGGTTTCAGATCTTTAGCTCCTTCCCTACCCCAAAGTGTACTCCATTGCAAAATACATATACAGGCTGTCCTCGAAGATTTACCCATTGTGCTCATTAATTTCGTTAATATATTCATATACTATCGTTGATTTGCTGTGCGTGTGTCCGAGTGCATCATTGCTGATTTTCCTACTTTATTTTGAGGTAACTTACCAACTATTATTTTGTCTATTAATCTTTAATCATTACGGTATCTCCTTATCAATGCAATAGCCGGAACTTCAACGCTCGGTATCAAAGTTTACGTGCCATCTGCAGTGTYGTACTGCCTATTATAAGGTTATCTCTGTACCATTTTAAGGCGTAACTAAAGTATTTTTTTACTTTATTTCCCAACATGGAAATATTATTTTCTGAGCTGGGAAAATGGACCAAGTCAATGTTGGTGAATTTTATCTTATTCAAATCACCCCCTTCTGGTATCAAGCTAAGTGATGAATTGTCACAAAAACTTTTAATCCCACCTGATTCCGTTATACCATCATCTAACTCATTTGATATTGCAAACATACTTCGTTTGATTATTTGGGAACTCAAAATCCTTTCCGAAAGTCATCTGAAAATGCACGATAAGCTCAACCGTCTTGGAATGACTGGATCCTCTGATAATGTCGTTAAGCACAAACCTCCAACAATTATTACGCAAGCGATCCAACCAACATCAGGCAGTAAGATCTTAGCTGTAAAACGAAACTCRCCAACGGAATCTTCTAAGTTTATAGTTGGATCTGGTTATCAAAAACCTACAATGATTTCTGCCGCACCTATCCGTAGATACTCGGATATATTCCTCTCAATACTAGATCCAYACGTTACCACTGATATTCTTAAAACCGAGTTTTTTCCTACATTTGACGACTTCACTTCGTTTAATAGACTTTAAACCATTACTTCACTTAATATTGACTCAGAAACGCACGCTTTTTAAGACGCTATACATTATTGTACGTATCTTCAATTTCGTTCCTGAAGTCAAATATAAGCCTTCAAATTTCCTAGTTGGTTTTCTAGAGATTTTAAGTCCATTGTTTGGGGGAGAAAATAAGAAGCATGTAAAGTATAAATCAACTCAGTGTTCTCGTGACTACTCTGAATTTTCTACTCTTCGAGCGCTAATAAGATTGAGTACAAAACATGTCATAGTGGATTTTTGTCTCGCACTGAAATCAACTAAAACAAAATCCTCGTTCCTTTTGGAACTTCGTACGCAAACATAAATCTGGCACTGGAATCCCTAATTCAGTCTTTTACAATGATGTAACAAGTTCTGGGTCTGAGCTGATTCCCATATTTTTTCATCATACTAAGTCAGTTTATCTACCAAATTTCCAGAACTATAACGACCCTGTCACTTCTTTTTCTTATCATAATTTACTTAGAGACTACATATTTTCTGTTGACAATATTGATGTTGGACTCTCCGCTTTAAAAAACGTTAAATCTACCGGACCAGATGGCTTATCTAGTATTTTTTTGTTCAACGACAAGTCGTCCTTATGCTATCCTATATGGTTGCTATTTAGGCGCTTTATGGATTTGGGTGTCTATCCAAAGATGCTGAAGATGAGCTCTGTAACCCCGATATTCAAATCCAGGGAGTCTGATATAAAAAATTATGGACCAATCTCAATCTTAARTCATATTTTCAAGTTGTTTGAGCTACTGATGCTACGGAATATTCAACCATCGGTTAACAATATATTAATTGACGAACAATATGGCTTCAGACTTGGCCACTCATCTGTATTGAAATTAATTATACTTAATAACTACATCCTTAAAGTTTTTGAAGGTCACTCTCWGGTTAATGTCATATTCACAGACTTTGATAAAGCTTTCGACAGAGTCGACTAGGTACCAAATTCTCATGGATGTTYTGTACAAGTCGGGATTTGGTGAGCCTATTCTTTCATGGCTTAAATCGTACCTAACTGGCAGAGTTCAATGGGTCAAAGTTTTTTGGCATACATCCAATGTGATCGAAATTTCCTCGGGTGTTCCTCTAGTAGAATACTTGTCCCCTATTATTTTTTCACTATTTATTAATGGCCTAAAAAATGTGATACCCTCCACCAAGTTCATCATTTTGCAAATAACCTTAAAATCTTTAATTATGCTGACACATTAAGTGACTTCCATTCTTTACAACGCGAGCTTAATTCCATGGTTTCCTGGTTCAATTATATTGGGTTGTAGTTTAATACAGATAAATGGCACAGTATGTCATTCTCTAGAAGTAGGTCTATTATCAAATATACCTATCTCATCAATAGCTCAATCATTGAATCGCTAATTATAAAAAAAGATTTAGGTGTTATACTCAGTCCTAAACTGAACAATCATCCTCATGTCGAATCAATGTACTCTAAAGACACTTGGTTTTGTGCTACAATTAACTAAAGTTAAAGTTGTCTGCTTCTCTCAAGTGTATTTACTATTCCCTTGTTAGATCCCTTTTTGAGTATGCCTCAGTAGTATGAGACCCCTGTACGGCAGTTGATTCTTTACTTATAGGACCTGAAAATTAATCATCTGACACACGACTACCATCCAGTTATGCACAAACTCGGTCTTTCCTCTCTAGCTGATAGAAAAGTTGAGGCTAACTTACTATTTTTACACAAATTAATTGATGGATGTATTGATGCTCCTTCATTACTCGCTCAAGTTGGTTTTAAGGTTCCTTCCCGTCAAACTAGGTTGTCCGTTCCCTTCACTATTTCTTCACATAATGCCAATTACGGCAGAAACCAACCAATTGATAAGATGATGCGCCTTGGCGATGAGCATCCTCACTTGTTTAATATGTAATAATAAATATTGCTATTACAATTATGTAAATAAAAAATTTAAATTTATATGTCTCATTATATCATATCATATGCTTTGTATTATTATTATCTCACTCATTATATTACGCATGCAATTTCGTGTAATCTCTACTAAAATTATCTACTTGTAAAGTTGGGTAAGTGTAACACCCACTTAGATTAATTAATATATATATATATGTTTATAAATTATAATGGGCTCACAGCCCGTAATAAATAAATAAATAAATAAAAATAAATAATCTACATTATGTATGTAAAATGGGTAAAAATTGTCTTATTTTATTTACAAATAATTTAACATTATCCAGAAGACATCACAACGGGGGTGTTCTCATTACCTTGTAATATTATGTTTCGATAATGACTCACGTATGAATATCGATTAAGAAACAAATTTTTCATTTATTTTTAAAATAAAATGTCATTAGCGTGCGTTATTATGATAACTATAACAGGGATTATCTATAAACACATATCGTATAATAACTATAATACTAAAAAATGTGACTGTGTG